GTGTGCTCATCAACGTGGGTGACGCCGAGATCGACTTCTCGCCGTCCTTCACCATGTTCCTCTCCACACGAGACCCCACCGCCCAGTTCACACCCGACCTCTGCAGCCGAGTCACCTTCGTCAACTTCACCGTCACGCCGTCCAGCCTGCAGAACCAGGTACGATGGCCATCGAGACACACGTATGTATGCTGCCGCTGGCTATCGTCTCTCTGCCCTTATCCTCCCTGGTCAGTGCATGAACTTGGTGCTCAAGTCCGAGCGGCCTGACGTGGACAAGAAGCGGTCCGACATGCTCAAACTACAGGGTACACATTTACGCATTGCATCCATGGCCTCACCGACGAAACGCGGCCTTGTGTGTGTCATTGTGATTGGTCTCCGGCTGGCTTCCCTGTGTGATGTGTGTCAGGCGAGTTCCGTGTCAAGATTCGCGAGTTGGAGGACAGTCTGCTGATGGCGCTGTCCAACGTCAAGGGCAACATCCTCGACGACGACTCCGTCATCGCCACACTGGAGACACTCAAGAAGCAGGTATGCACGTCGACACACAACCACCCACAGCCACAGCCACCAACACTCCGGGGTGTGTGTGTGTGTGTGTATGTGTGTGCAGGCTGCGCAAGTGGCGCAGGAGGCCGCCCGCACTGATGCGGTGATGGACGAGATCGACCTGACGTCCCAGCAGTACATGCCTCTCGCGCAGTCGGCCGCCCGCATCTTCTTCTCGATGGAGCAGCTCGGCACCGTATACTTCCTCTACCAACACTCGCTGCAGTTCTTCCTCGGTCACACGCCGGGCGGACACACACACACACACACACACAACGGATCGATGTGTGTGTACATGTCTGTGTCTCTGGCTGACCTCAGACATCTTCCACGACGCACTGCGGGATCAGGATGCGCTGTCCAAGGTATGTAACCACACACCATGCTCTCGATGAAGCACTCACTCTGCATGTCGTGTATCGTGTGGCTTTCCTTGTGTGTGTGCAGGTTGGGCGTGACGACTACACGGCCCGTCTGGGAGTGATCTTCGACTCCTTGTTCCGCATCACCTTCCAACGTGTGGCGCGCGGGCTTCAGTGGAACGACCGTCTGGTCTTCGCCATCCGACTCAGCCAAATCAGATCCGACAACGACCCACACACGGCATACAGTCAGCACCCACAAAGACACATACACACATGAAGAGGCGTCAGTGAAATTGGTGTGCAATTGTGTCTGTGTGCAGACGCCAAGGAGTTGGATCTGCTCATGAAGGGGGCCGGCTTCGAGATGAAGTCAGACGACGCCGCTGCCCATGACGTCAGGGCCAAGAGGTGGGCCGCTGTCCTCGACGGCAAACTCAACACCGCACAGGTCCGTCTGTCAGAAAGCTCACGCGCATCCGCCCATCCCCCATCAGACCCACCTTATGTATGGCTCTCTGTGTGTTAGGCCAAGGGGCTGCATGACCTGGAGGCGCTGCCGTGTTTTGCCAACACGCTGCTGGTGAGCTTCGAGAGCAAGAAGGCCGAGTGGCGGGCACTCCTCGACGACATGGAATCCGAGAACAAACTGCCGCAGGCAAGACACACACATACACGAGAGAGTGAGACCACCTCTGTATCCCTTTCTTTACATGGCTCTGTCTCTGTGTGTGTCGGTAAGGACTTTGCGCTAGACGACAAGGCCAACCCCAACGTCAAGAAGATCCGCGACGCGCTGGTCATCAGGGCCCTTCGCCCCGACCGCCTCATCGCCGCCCTCAACAGCCTCATCGACCTCGTCCTCGGCAAGGGTTTCCTCTGGCTCAACGAGCTCAACCTCCAGCGCATCGCACAGAAGGAGACCAAGTCCCTGTCGCCACTCGTACTCGTGTCGGCGCCAGGCTTCGACCCCAGCAGCCAGGTGGTGGAATTGGCACACGAGCTCAACAAACCCATGCAGTCCATCGCTATGGGCTCACAGGTCAGAGAGAGAGAGAGAGAGAGCGATGGCTCCGTCGGGGGCATGGACACTCGTTGTGTCGTTGGTTGGTTGGTTGGTTGGTTGTGTTTGTCGATCAGGAGGGCTACCAGATTGCTGACAAGGCGATCAATGCGGCGGCCAAGAACGGCACCTGGGTGTTGCTGAAGAACGTGCACTTGTCGACCCGATGGCTGCAGGAGCTGGAGAAGAAGCTGCACCGACTCAACCCTCACGAGCACTTCAGGATATTCCTCACAATGGAAATCAACCCCAACGTTCGTTGCCTACACACACAGACAGACAACACACACACTCTCTCAGCAAGCCGTCACTCTTTTGTGTGTTCAGGTGCCGCTGAACCTGCTGCGTGTCTCGACGACCATCGTGTTTGAGCCGCCCGTGGGCGTCAAGGCGTCGCTGCAGAGGTCATACTCCAACCTGCTCAGCATCAAACGGTAGGTGCGAGAACCATCACCAACAAATGCGCACCCATGATATGATGCCTTTAGTTCGGATCGCACTCCGGTTGAGCGGAGCCGCCTGCACTTTCTCCTGGCCATGCTCCACGCAATCGTACTCGAACGAAAACGGTACACACACACACACACACACACGCTGACACTGAGAGAGATGTGTCGACCCGCATCCATGACGCAGGTATGCGCCTGTGGGGTGGACGAAGCGGTATGAGTTCAGCGATGCCGACCAGCAGTGCGCCCTGGACACCATCGACTACTGGCTGGACGCCGTCTCCAACAACGGCACCATGACCAACGTGCGGCCCGAGAAGATCCCGTGGGACGCCCTCCGCACCGTCCTCAAGGCCGTCATATACGGCGGCAGAGTCGACAACGAATTCGACCACAGGCAATGCCACCACACACACATTCACCCCCCACATGTCTGTCTTTATGTCTGTTGTGTCAATCAAATCAGGGTGTTGTCGTCGTTTGTGGACCACCTGTTCTGCGAGGAGGCGTTCACCAAGGCCGAGTACGTCTTGTGCACGTTGGTGGAGGGCGTGCAGCCGCTCAAGAGCCCCGAGAGCGGCCGTAAGAGGGAGAACTTCATCTCGTGGGTGGAGGCACTCCCAGACAAGGAGTCGCCCGCGTGGCTCGGACTGCCCATTCACGCCGAACAAATGCTGCAGTGAGACAGACAGACAGATAGACAGACAGACAGGGGCGGCAACACACACACAGACACATCTTTCTCCCACTATGCCCCTGTGTGTGTGCGCAGGGCGAACCAGGGGACGTACACGATGACGAAGCTGCTGCTGATGCAGGGTGGCGAGGATGACCTCCGGTACGAGCCGCCCGCCGCAGAGGCCGCCAAGGACGTCACACCCACGGCAGCTGGGGCGGCACAGGCCGACGACAAGGGAGGTCAGGTCGATCACACCCTCACACAGGCCCACCATGCAAGAATCGGCGGCTCTGTGTGTGTGTGTGTGTGTGTGCGTGTCAGGCCCTCGTCCACGTCGCGGCAGCCGGCGGCACTCGATGGAGCTCGGCAACTGGCTGTCTGCTCTCCTCCCAAAGATACAGTCACTGCTCATGTACGCAACCAACAACCACACACACAGAGAGAAGACACCACGTCGACCTGTGTGTGGTGTCGCCTACAGGAGTCTGCCGAGTGGGATGGAGAAGTTGGTGCGGACTGCCGAGGCGGTGCAGAACCCGCTGTTTCGGTGTTTCGACCGCGAGGTGAATGTGTCGCTGCGGCTGCTGCACCGCATCAAGAGCGACCTCGAGCAGTTGCAAGAGGTCTGCAGCGGCAAGATGAAGACCACCAACGAGCTGCGGGCACTCGCACTCAACATCTCCGCCGACACCATTCCAAAGGTGACAGACCGACCGACAGACACACAGAGGAGAGAGACAGGAGATGTGGATTGGATGTCTGCGTCTTTGCTTACGTGTGTGTCAGGATTGGAAGCGCTATAGTGTGGCTGAGTACCTGACCGCCACGCAGTGGCTGGCCGACTTCACGAGGCGTATCGCACAACTCAAGGAAATCACAAAGACCAAAGGTAGGTAAACACAGCTAGCTTATGGCACACACGTACAGCACCGGACGCATCGCATCCAACCTGTGTGTGTCTCATGTGGTCGGTGATCAGACTTCGGTCGGCACAAGCTGTGGATGGGTGGATTGCTCTTCCCGGAGGCCTACCTCACCGCCACACGGCAGGCCGTCGCCCAGCACTTCCACTGGTCACTCGAGGAACTCTTCCTCTGCGTCGAAATCGGAAACACACAGGTAGGTCAGGCACACAGCCATTTTGTTTGCACACACAGATGAATGAAGGATGGCCCGTGAACGTCTGTCTGTCTGTGCGAGTAGGTGGACGATCAGTCGTTTATCATTACGGGCATGGCCATGGAGGGGGCTGCATGGGACGCAAACAAGAAGGTATCCATCCATCCAGCCAGCCATGAGAACGCACCCCTTCCACGCCGTCCATCTGGTCTGTGCGTCTACTCTGATGGATCCGTCAGTGTCTGACGCTGACGGAGGAGTTGAGTGTGGAGCTGCCGCCCGCCCGGTTCCGGTGGACGCGTCGCGACGACCCCGCCATCGCCCACCTCCTCGATCCCAACAAGGCACTCACCATCCCCGTATACCTGACAGACGTCCGCAGGTGCGGAGAGAGCCACACATCTCATGCATGGACGCATCTCGTACAGTGACGCGTATCAATCAAGGTGTGTCTGTCTGTCTGTCTGTTTGTCTGTCGTGTGTCAGAGAGTTGGTGACGTCGGTTCGCCTGCCGATTCCGTCCAACATCCCGACGGCCCTGTGGATACAGAGATCCGCCACACTCATCATTTGGCGCAAGTGAAAGCTTGAGGGGTCGATGTGGTGTGCTGCTCGTGGGCCGGCGGTGTTTTGTCTTGCTGTGGACATTTCCGGGTGGCTGGGTGGGAGGGAGGGGGATGATGTCTCATCGGAGACAGGAAAGACGTGTAGAAGGCTCACTTGTAGACGACCAGTGAAGTGTAGACTTGAATGTTCGTCCATTGTGCGTAGCTAGGGTATGCTTGAATGGATTTGATGATGACTGACACATGTGATCAGTCCACACGTCCACTGCCCACAGGATGCATTCGGCCACTCAGGCAGACAGAACATCACTCGAACTCCGTCAGGTACGTAATGGCATCCTCACTCACACCATACTCAGTTTCCGTGTCCACCGTCTCCTCCTGACTCGATGGCGTCTCTGCTACCCTTTGTAATGTGGATTCATTGTCTGAGGAAAAACTCCATCCATCCATCCATCCGTGAGTCCGTGAGTCCGTCCATCCAATGGCGTCCGTCGGTCAGATACACCGCCCCTAGATTTACCTCAATCTGTCTTCTTGTTGCCTGCTGCATTGTCACCGGCGCCGGGGGTCTCCAGCAATTTCTCTAGCGACTTTTCAGGCGGGTGGCTTGTGGAAGCTCCTGGCGCCGGGGCATCCTGTGTCTTGTGGTTCTCGTCCGTTGCTTTCACCTCCGTGTGGCCTGCAGGCCCTGGTGTCTTCTCGCCGGCATTCCCGGCCTCGGAGACCGGCGTTTTTTGAGCTTTCATGCTGAGACACACAAACAGCACAGGTGTCTGTCTGGCTGGCCTCCTCTATATTGATGTGATTGTTCTTACTTTTCCGCGACCTCACGCGTGTCCTCATGGGCGGCCTCTGCCGGCTTCGTCTCCTTGTGGTGCTCCGGCTTGGGTTCCGGTTCGGTGTAGATGTCGTACTTGCCCTTTGGCGTATGTATGTGAACTGATCTCATGTCGGGTTGCGGGAAGAGGTTCCCGCTGTTTGAGACACATGCATGGAATGAATCAGTCAAAGAATGGAGATCGATCAGCCAGACAAACGCGTCCATGTGTTGAGTCGACTGACCAGTAAGATATGACGGCGCAATTGAACTCCCTTTGCAAGACAATGGACGTACAGACAGGTGTTGGCCATGTGTGTAATGGTGCAAGTGCGTGGCGTACTTGTTCGGCTTTTTGCTAGAGAAGAGACCCTTCTTCTTCTTCTGCACCTCTTCGTAATTTGTGTCCTGCATTGGCGTCCACCCCATCCAGTGCACAATACCTCTCATGCCTGCCCCCCTCCTCGCTCCTTCCCTAGCTGTCTCCCTGCATCCCTACCCACTTACCTGGAAGAGGCAGTAGTCTGACATGTCTTGGTTCGGGCCTTCTTTCACGGTCGACACTTTGCCAATCTTGCTGACCTTCTCCAGCTGCTCGGGAAGGTCGGGGTCCATTCGATGCGGACACCTGCACGCAGACAGACAGACAGACAGACAAGGCAGACACCCTGATATCGATCGATCGGCGGACGAGACACGTACGGATGCTCGAGACATGCATTTATTAAGTAGTTACAGGCCTGCAGGCATACATGTAGACGATGCACTCATGGGGGTAGCTGACGGTGTAGTGTGCAGGGCCCCCGCTGGTCCTGCCGTTCGTGGTCGACACCGGTTTCCACTCTCTGTCGACGTCTCTTGGGTTCAACTGATAAGAAAGAGAGAAACAGAGTACCCATGGGACACTGCTTTGAAACACGAACCAGTGCCAAACATCGATCTGTTTTCGTGTTGGTTGTGTCCTGCGTGCGATGATATATGTTTTGTATGTCCAGCATGCCGGCGTGCCGACGAGATCTCTCGGGCAAGACTGGTCGCCGTGTGTCACAGTGTCAATTGCCGAACACCAAATATCGTTTGGGCTGCCCTCTCCCAGCGCGGTGTCCTTGAACGTCCTTCTGTCCGCCCTGGTGTCCCGCTGCGGATGTGTGGCGTTGTGGCGCCTAGGCTGCCGGCCATGTGTGTTTCCCACCAGCTGCACCGCTGCAGCTGCCGAGACGAGCTGCGTCGGCACCACCAGGCTAAGCAGCAGAGAGACGGACCTGGCCATCGTGGCAAAGGGATGTGCAATTGAATCAAAACAAGAGAGGGGCTTGCGCAGGGAAAAGGGATGGGTGTGAATGCCAGTGGTGCATGCGGCGTCTCGGGGGCCCCTTGGGGGCGAGCTGCGAGCCTCTTGAATAATTGGAAACTTCGTCCGCGATGGGCAGCATATGCGACCGGTGCCTTCAGCCATCGTCGGGGCCCGCACAGGAAGGCGAGCAGCCATCCACCATCGTCACATCCGACATTCAGGTGTCCGTCGCAAAGGGCCCTCAGGCGATATCAGTGCTGGCTGACGGGCCGCAGGACAACACAGAACAGCCAGATGACGGCACAGAGCCGCCGGGGATCATCAGACCGCAGTCGCCAACCGAGGCCTCATCGAAAACACGAGGCGGGGCGGGAATCGGCGCATTGTGGACGCAGGCGAGTCAGCGGCTGACGCAGCAGTGGGGCTCTGTGATGGAGAGGGGCGAGGACAAGCTACCGTTCAAAGGGGCCTTTTACGTGCAGAACCGGTCGGATTGCGCCATCAGGGACGACTATGCGTTCGAGGAGAAGCTGGGTTCGGGTGCCTTCGGGACGGTGTACGCGGCGAGGCATCTGGCGACGCAGGACATGCGGGCGGTCAAGGCCATCCCTCGCGCCAAGATCCGGGACCTCAAGCAGTTCAAGAGCGAAGTGGCCGTGCTCAAGACGCTTGACCACCCACATGTCGTGAGGCTATACGAAGTCTATGAAGACAAAGAGTAGGCAGAGCATCCCTCAGTGGCACCAGGCACACACACACACACACTTTGTTGCACTCATGACATCCACCTTTGCCCTCTTGTGTGTGGTAGTGAGGTCTATTTGGTGATGGAGTTGTGTCGCGGCGGGTCGGTTGTGGAGCGGCTGGCGGGTAGGGGCGGGACGGTCGATGAGGCGGAGATTGCTGGCTGGATACGGCAGCTGTTGAGGGGGGTCTATTATCTGCACTGCCACACGCCTCCCATCATGCACAGGTACGAATGTTAGGGTCCACCCAATCCAGTGGATTGGGTAAGAGAGAGAGATACCATGACATGGCATGCTTTCATGGTGTCACTCTCGGTGTTGGTTGGTTGGTATGTGTGTGCACTGCAGGGACATCAAGCCTGACAACATGCTGTTCGTCACTGGCAGAGACGATGCGCCAATCAAGCTGATTGACTTCGGTAATTAACGTGAATCGAATCGGTGGACATGGATGGCTGGCTGGCTGGCTGGATGGATGGATGGATGATGATTCATCAGGAATGGCTGGTTTCGGCCGCGCCTCTGACGGCACGTCCAGCAGGGTCGTCGGCACGGTACAGTACACATGGCCTACATGGACTGACTGTTAGACTCAACTTGGTATGGCTGATTGGTGGGGGTATGGTATGTGTGTATCTGTGTGCAGCCCCACTACATGGCCCCTCAGGTGTGGCAGGGGCAGTACGACGGCGCCTGTGACCTCTGGTCTGTCGGAGTCGTCACCTACGTCCTGCTCTCCGGGACACAGCCATTCCCCGGTGCCAGCAAACAACAGGCAAGTCACAAAAGAGGGAGAGACGCATCATGATGCCATCCATGTTCACATGCCTGGCTGTATGCGTTCCGTAGATAAGCGATAAGGTGATGGAGGGCAGGTTTCGGATGGACGGCCCGCAGTGGAAAGCCATCTCTGACGACGCTAAGGACCTCATCAGGAAACTGCTCAGGTCAGTCAGCGGACAGATAGAGTGCCATGAAATGGCACATGCGGAAGGAAGATACATACCATCTGTGTGTGTGTTGGCCTTGCCCTGTATGTCTGTTTGTGTGTATGGGTGCAGGTACGATGCACGTGAGCGTCTGACGGCAGAGCAGGCCCTCCTGCACCCGTGGATCGACAGACCACAGCCTTTCCAGCCGCTGACAAGGGTGGGGACGGACACTCATACATACCATGCACCCACCCCACACACACTTCCCACCCACCTCTCCTCTCTCTCTTAATTCAATTTGTGTCTGTCTGTCTGTCTGTGCAGGAGATGGTGTCGTCTCTGCGTGCATTCTGCCGGGAGACCCGTCTGACGAAGGCCGTGTTGATGACGGTCGCGTCTCAGGTCGCCACAGAGGCCCTGGTGGTCTACCAGCAGGTCTTCGAGCAGCTCGACACAGACGGAGACGGCACCATCACTCTGCCGGTTTGGTTTGAATGCATGGACTGGACGTGCAGGGCCGACACACAGACAGACAGAGGAGATTGTGTGTGTGTGTGTGCGTTGTGCGCAGGAGATGGAGGACGCGTTGGCGACCCATCCTGAGCTGCAGGAGATCGGTCTGTCAGCCAACCAAATGTTCGAAGTATGTATGCCAGTACAGGATGCATTCACGGGGGGGATGGCATCGTGTGCATTGCATGTGTGTGTGGATTGGATGGGATGTAGGAGTTGGATACGGATGGCAGCGGTCGTGTGGAATACACCGAGTGGCTGGCAGCCGTCATCGACAAGTAACCAAGACAGACAGACAGAGAGACGGACAGACAGGCAGGCAGAGACACACCCCAATGCACACACACAGACACCTTCATGTGTATTGTATGGGTGTAGGTCGTTATATGAGGGTGACAACATCCTCTCCAACACGTTCCGCATCTTCGACCAGGACGGCAACGGACTCATCTCCGCATCAGACCTCAGAGACCTACTGCTCACCGACGAGGTAGGTGACGTGACCACACACCCACATTCATGTGTCTCTCCCGGCACATGGATGCCTGCAGGTGGCCAGGCGGGTCGAGGAGAAGCACGGCGAGGACGAGTTCTTCCGCCGGCTCGACTCAGACATCAGCACCCACGGCTCCATCGACTTCGCACGGTTCGTCGACGGCATGCGCCAACACGCCAGGGAGCAGCAGACATTCCTCTTGACCACTGCTGCCGCCGCAGCCCCTGTAGGGGCCAGTGCCGCTCCCAGTGCTCCCAGCAGCAGCAGCAAGCCCACACTGCACCAGGGAACGCTCGAGGCCCTGTCGCCTACAGTGGACAAGTCAGGGCAGGTTGGCAAGAAGAGAATGCACTCAGTTACAACAGACAGGAGGTCTGGGCACACGCCAAGGGGCAGCACTTAGTGTGCGGTTGCGTGTGTGTGTGTGAGTGCTGCTGAGTGACCTTGGTGGGTGAGTGTGTTGCTGCTGCTACTTTTTGCATCTTTCTTTTTGCATCTTTCTTATCTGTCTGATTTTGCGTTGCATCACCATGGTGGGTGCTATGGTGCCATCTGCGCCGCGCCGATGTACAATGTGGCGAGCTAGCTGCACCTCTCTCTTCGTGTCATGCGTGTTTGTGTGTGCCAGCCTGTCTTCCTTGAGCTCTTGATCACTTCCTTCGCTGCGTGTGAATACATACTGGCTCTTGCGCTGCACTGCACTGCCCTGCACCTATAATAATAATTATGTACAACCGACCGCACTTTGCAAGCATCAACCAGTCTCGTCTCGCCTCACAGGCTAGGCGACACCAGACAGACTTCAAAAAGGCGCCCCACTCACTCACTCGCCCACACACACAGGAGGACCGTTCGTTGCTCTCACCCTCATCCATCCATCCATCATCCATCCATCCATCCAAGCAGAAAGCTTTCGGCGCACCCAAAAATACCCCAACCCGGACACGCCACCCACCCATCTCCCTCCCCTTATCAATCGCACGGCTTGACCAAAGGAGCCCTCTCCCAGCCAGTCGGTCGTCATGTCAGGCGTTTTGCTGCAGCCCCACCTGCTGCTCTGGGGTGGCGTGTTCGCCGATAGGGTTGGAGGGCACGCCGGGCAGGTTGGCGGGGAGGTACGACGGCACGCTGTCCGCCGCTGCTGTGGCGTCATCCAAAGCAACGTCGTCCTGCACACCAACCAACGAGCCAGGACACACTTGTGTGTGTGAGGAGATGGTCATATCTGTGTGTGTGGTTACCTGGAGGGCGGCGAACTCTGCTTCCAACTCGCCCTCGTCGATGTCCTGTGGCAGCGCATAGTTCCGACTGAGGATGTCGTTGATCTCCTGTAGTGCACACCACACCGATCGCATCAACAAGAGCTGAATGACCGAAACCCACATCGCACCGATGCTGTCTGTGCACTACCTCTTGGTCGAGCATGAGGTCAGCCATGTCCTCCTGCACCCGCTCGATCTCGTCGATGTCCATCTTCTTGAACTGCTGCTTCAGGTTCACGTTGGCCGCCTTCATCGCGTCCACTGTCATGGCTGTGGTCTCCAGCTGCTCCGTCGCAAACGCCGCCTGATCCACGTTGAACTGACACACACACACACACACACACAGACATACACACACGCGGACACACATGTAGAGGGATGGACTAACGGCTCACGTGTGCTGTACCACCTACCTGAGTGCCCTGGAGCTGATCCCTTTGCTGCTCGTACATCTTCTTCCGCTTCAGGACGGTCAGCGCCTGCTGTTTGATGCCCGCCTGTGCAGGCCCTCTCACACTCGCCAGCTGCTGCTTGTAGCGAGCCAGCTCGTCGTCACACTTCTTGATCTGCGCCTCGATGTGAGTCACGCGGCCATCGATATGGCCTGAAGCCTCAGCCAAGCTCGGAGCCGGCTTGGCTGGAGCCTTGGAGCTTGTGCCGAAGAACCGCTTCATCGTTTCGGCGAGATCTGCACAAGCGCGCGGGGTCGAAGAAGGATGTTCCGTAAAACTGTTCGACGCTGAAGAGAAGACGAAGAACGCCAGGCCTCAAGAGAGAGAGATCTTGTTGCGGTGTACATCTCGTTCATGGCGTCGAGCGCGTCGTCGTCGGCCACGTCAGGGACGTCAGGTCTGTCGGAGCTGTACCGGAAGACGACGAGCACCAAGCAGGAGGTGGACCGGCTGCTGGAGGCCTTCGAGACGGGCCAGGACCGATCCATCGCCCTGCAGCAACGGCTCGGCGCACTCACCAATGAGTTCTCACGACTTGTGCAGCAGCTGGAGGAGAAAATCAAGTACGTCGACAAGGCGCAGAAAGATGTGTGGCAAAGGTAAGCAGAGAGGGGCAGGGCAAGATGGGGTCTGTGCGTGTGTGTGTGACTTCTGGATGTGTTGTGTGGATGGTCTGTCTGCAGGCGGACGACCAAGCTGTCGGACGACGCGCAGCACTTCCGCATCTGTCTTGAGAAGCAGCTGGGGCACATCTACCGCTCACAAATCGAAGAGCAACAAAGGCGAAAACTGTTCGAAGGCAAAGAACAGGTACACACAGCCAGGCAGTCCGACATACCAGACCGATGGGAATCTGTTGTCTTTGTGTGTGTGTGTGTGTGTGCGTCAGAGGGAGCGGATCAGCGGTTATCTGCGTGAGCGCGAGGCGCTGAAGGAGTCCCATTCCCTCATGGACGCCATCACAGAGCAGGGCAGACAAATCGTCGACAACATCATGGGGCAAAACAAAAACCTAAAGGTACCACACACACACACACACAAACGACACACGGCCTCACTGCACACTGTGAGGACGCGTGTGTGCGTGTGTGTGATTGCAGGGTGTGCGCCGGAAGATGCTGGATGTGACCAACACGTCAGGTCTGGTGCAGAGCCTGCTGGGCGTCATCGACCGGCGGCACGCCGTCGACCGCTGGCTGGTCCTCGCCGGCATGGTCGTCACCCTGTTCATATTCTATGGCGCTTGGAAACTTTTCAGAGGATAATCGATGGGCAAGAAACGCAGGGATGGAGGGAAAGGCAAGTGCGTTGGCTGCTGGTTAACGAGCGGTGGGGACACTAGAAGGATGGGCGAGTGGATGGGCATGGCGTGCTGCTGTTTGTTTATCGGTTGAGGCAGGCGGCCAGCACAGCCACAAAGGATGCTTGCGTGCGGCTCAGACGCTGACCTCCTGTATATCTATCTGGTTTGATGTGGTTCGATCAGTGTCCAATACTCAAGTCCATGTGTGTACTTGTTGACGCACCAACAACGCTTTGCCTACACCATGCCACTGGCCCACTCAGGGCTCTACCTAACTAGACTACATGGCGGCAGCCTGCCGGCGCTTGCGCTGGGATGGGGGCCTGCACATAGACATACCCGCAGCCAGCCAGACCAACATCCACAATGCACCGATGATTGCTGCCGGCTGACTGACCGTTTGCCGGCTTTGCCAATCATGCTGCGCAGCATCTTCATGAGGGCCTTCTTCTGCTGCCCCGTCACCTCACTGCCTTCCGCCGGCTGCGCGGCCTCTTCCTCGTCCTTGGTGTCGGGCTGCTCTGCCGTGGGTGTCTTGGCGGCATGGAGAAATACCGTGCTGGCCAGGGAGGGGGCGGTGAAGAGCCGAATGCCGTCCTGATGAGTGACGCATCGTGGCCCCAACGCCACAGGCATTGAAATCACTGACACCATCACATCACCCCATCATCGCCCCTTTTGTGTCCTCACCGTGTGGATGGGAAACCCCTGGGTCAACCCTGCGCAGTAGGGGCCATGGTGCAGGCTCGAGCAGAGGCTGTCATCCATTGCATGAAGGGAAACCAACTGAGGCGAACAGACAGCCATCCACAAACAACACAGATATCTAGGCGGCACGCAGTGCAGTGAGGAAAGATAGATGCAGGTATCTTTCTACCGTGGCCGTCTGCATTTCGTCCGTACTACGTTCTTCGTGTTGATCACTCCCATGTTCTTGCTCTTGCTCTTCCTCTTGCTCTTCCCCATCGCTCTCATCACCCCCTCTCCCTCCAATGGCCCACTCGCCACCTGTGTCAGCCTCCTCAGCTTGAAGTTCTTCGCCATCCACGATGCCGTCCTCGGCGAGCTCGTCCCCGGAAGACACAGACGCCTCGCCGTCGGGCTGCACTGAGCTGGCGCGGGAGGCTGATCTTTTGGCGGCGGCTGTCTTGAGCAGCTGGTAGACCCTCCTGGCCACTGGAGCACCCTTTTCGCGTCATCAGCCGAAGTGAGATTAAAGTGGGGCAGAAACCGATGGAAAAACATCGTCTTCACATGCCTCTCCCACAGCTCCTCCTCCGCATCGCCATCTGCATCTGCATTCCCTTCTTCTCCGTCGTCGGCCTCGGCTGCGTCTTCTGTCGGCTCAAACGACGTCGCGCCGGCACTGCCGCCATCATGTGCGGTCGTGTTGCTGTTGCTGTCGCTGTCGGTGGCGTTTGCTGGATCTTGTAGTTCAAGGGCGATGCGCCCACTGAGGATGAGATGGCGGACGTCCGCGAGAGCCTCCTCCGTGGACTCGGCGGGCAGGAGATTGAGAGCCCCGTCGGCGCAAATGTCAGAAGAGAGAAGGCATGAGCACAGCGGCAGCAGGTACAGTGGTCTCATCGAGAGGCGGAGAGGCTCACAACTTTACACATTCCTGTAAATCGGGATCAAGGGGATCGCGGTGGAGACTGCCACATCAGAAGACTGCCGGGACTGAAGACTGCCGCCCCTGTTTCTGTATCTATCGAAGCACTCACGCCCGCACCACCCAGCCGTGTACACGTCTCTCTGCCTACATTATGTGGTGCGGCAGGCAGAGTTTTCAGTGATGAGTTTCAGTCCGTCGCACAGGACGTTGGCCATTCGTTTGTCACATCTTCTTCCTGTTCACTCGTCCCCTCTCAATGATCCGTGTTGCCAGCCACGGGTGGCTCGTGGCTACGTTGATTCTGGCTTGACATTAATAGGTATGGTCAGGTCCTCCGACCGAGCTTCCCTGAAGAGACACGACAGATACACATCGCTGTAGGCAAGGGTGATCTGATCTATTTACCTCCAAGCCGTGATATATGGAAAATCCTTCCGGATTCTGCCCTTCAGGAATGAGCTGGAAAGCCGTGACGAATCGCTTCCACTGGGGGTACTTTGGGGAATCGCGCATCTCAATTCCTCCCACGAGCCGCCACCCGTGCGAGTCCTCGAGGAACCGCATTGTGTTGTCGAAGTTCGCTGCCTGCCACGCGCCATGGGAGTAGTCTTGTTCGACGTCCCCCGTGACTTGTCCCCAGCACATGGCTCGGCCAAAGGTAGGATGGTGAGCGCAGTAGCGCTGCGGCGGCTTCCATGTGCTCTCCTCCATGGGCTCGCCTCCCCACCACAATGAGGGGAAGATCGTGTTAATGAAGTGCCTGCATGAAGTCGATTTGAAGGACCGGAGGTGTTTGCAGTGCAGTGTAGGTCCTTACCCGCCAGGCGCGATGAGCGTTTTCAGTGTCTCCCACATGTTGTAATTAGATGGATGGTACCAGATCGGGCCGTCGGCCGCCTCCACCTGCTTCACTTCCTCGTTGAAAAACATGTCCTACGAGGCAGACAGAAAGCCATACACACAGCAAGCGCGATCACGTCAAAGGGAAGAGTTTGCCGCATCCGTCATTACTCGATGACAATTGTGGAAGATGATTTCGGAGAAATGATTGTAGGGCAACCCCAGCTGAGCATTTGCTGTGAGCACGCGGCAAAAAAGAACCATTACAAACATGACTGTCTTGTCATACAGAAGAGTACCCGTGGACAGATGGTCGAATCGGAGAATGTTCATTTGCCAGTAGTGCGGCACGGGACCCCCTGAGACGACAGACACACACAGACACACACAGACATACACAAACACACACAGACAGACACACACACTCTCTCTACTCTCTTTCTGTCTCTGTGCAGCGGGCGACCCTCCAGGCCTGCGTCTCACCCAGTACGGCACGAGGCCATGTTCCTGAGATACACATGGTGTGCTAAGATGTCCAACAGGAACAAGCTGCCCTCGACTGTGGTGGCTTACCGGGCATGCAGGGCTCAGTGTCCTCCTTCGCGCACAGCCGATCGCTGCTCAACTCGAGCATCCAGTTCTCCGTGCCAGGCTGGGGTGGCTTCAAATAGTACACTTTCCTATGGCTCGGGTCGAAGGCAACTTGACAGCGCAGACACGCACACCAAGGATCACAACGGTCCATCTTGCAGTGAGATCAAAACATGCGTACGGAGCTTGCGGGGGAAGAATCCCTCAGGAAATTCTTTGCTGAAGGTGAGCACACCGGGAACGGTCACGTCGTTGTACGGCAGGTCGACGAACGCGTATAGCTGGTCGTAGCTGCAGCGCAAGAAGAGGGGAACTTAGCACGCGTGTCTCGCCCTCCCTGCATGTGCCAACTTACACGGCAAGCCATTCTTGCTTGTTCTGCTTCGAGGGGCGGTAGTTGTCAGGAATGGGGAACGGCAGCTCATGGAAAGGGCTGTGGCAGCCAACCAGAGTCCTAGGAACCGTTGATGTCGGCTGATGGGCGGAGGGCGGAAGGTTTATCCTGAGCTCCGTCCTCCAGCTGGAGCCCATATACGGCTCAACTTGTATCGTCACCGCGGGCTGCTGCATGGCAACTCTCTGAAGCCTCTCGTCGACGGGCTGCTGGATGGCATTGCTGGTGTTGGCGGAGAGAGGAATGAGCTCGGACGACACCAGGCTGGGGAGCAAGACGGAGCTCCACAGCAAGAACATTGTTGCTTCGCGCGGATACTCAAGCGTTCACTGAGACGGGAAATGCAAGTCTCAGACACCCACACGCAGGCCCCCAGCCAACGGACGTTGTTCCGACGCCTGCAAGAGGGTTCAGAGAGAGCTGAATGGGCACTGCGACTTCAGGGATAGCGTCCCAGCTGTCACCTTCAAGTTGTGAACCCCCGCCCATCGCATGCGCCCCCATTATGGCCAGGAAAATGGATCGCATTTGGCCGCAGTTTCTTGTCAATCGCAAGAAGGATGCCTGCAACAGCAGATTCACAGAGCACATTGCGCACTGTGGCTTCACATAAATATAGCGGCCTTCTCCCTCGAAGTTTGTCACTCGCTGCCTTTGTCAAACTCCTGGTTGCCTACTGGCAACGAGCAAAAGTAAGGAGGTAAGATATTGGTGATATCGAGGGACGCAACAGCGGAAGTCGCAAAGGTCTTTCCCCTCCCTGCCATCGCTCGCTCACCCTGTCAAAGGCATTGTGCCCCCCATCGGACTAGCAGCTGCATTGGGGTTCAACACATGCAGCTGCCGGATCCGCAGATCAAGGCACATGCCGTCAACAGAGTCACGACGGCACCACACACAGACAGACAGACAGAGAGACAGAGAGACAGAGGGACAGACAGACAGACAGTCACACAAGACGACCTACCCATTATTGAATTCGCGATCGGCGTGCAAAAAGTTCCAGAATGTTCGTGAGCTCGGTCAAAATCGCCCCTGCTCCCTCCCTCCCTCCTCTCTCAACCGCATCGACGATACACTCAGACCTAGTGTATATAAAAGCACATCATCAGGATGTGCTGTTGTCGATGTGATGCACATGTGGAGCAGCGACACGGGAGACTGCACAGCTAAACGTGCAGACACACACACATACATACACACATATAAAGCCGCATGCACTCGCCGGATGGATGGATGGACGGAAGCCCCTCGCTTACAAACGAATGGATGTTTGTACGTATATGACGGCCCTACTTACAAAAGGGACAAGGGAGGAGGCACGGCACAACCAACACATCGCGTGCATGGTGTGTGGTGATCGGTCCGCTCGTGTGCGCTCCCATCCTCGCTGGCCACACGGGTACACATCACACATACACACATCGGCATACACACTCAAGTAGACAGACAGACAGACAGACATCTGGCAGAAAGGGAGGCATGGCGGCCGAAAAAAAATCCGCTAGCCACCCAATACGGGAGTGTATCTAGGCATCAATCAGGCCGTCAACGGTTTGTCTTCCATGACGGGCTTCAGTCGGATCTTTCCGGAGTGGTTGGCCCTGAATGCGCCCCAGCTCGACTCGATGAACTCCGTTATCAGGGACGAACACACCCGGGGGTACTCTGCGACACACAGGGGAGTGGGATGAGACACGCACATGGACGATGGTGTGTGTGTGTGTGTGTGAGACAATACCTACCCAGTATGCAGTGGTGTGAGCCGCCCATGAAGGGCACCAGATGCACCTTGGGCAGCAAACCCGCCATCCCATAGGACTGCAATCCACACATCCGCGAATCAATGCAGAACACACAGAAACGGATGGATGGATGGATGGACGGATGGAGCCGCTTTTGTGAGTGCGTGTCTACCTGAAAGGCGGGCGTCATGATGTCCAGCAATCCTGTGATGATCAGCACGGGCGTCTGCACCTCAGGCAACACCATCTCCATCGAATGGCTATCCAGCGCCTGCACACAGACGGACATGCACTGCACTGCACGGGTGCCATAGTGCCATGTCTGCGGGCGTCACGTCACCTGCAGGATGATGCCCGTGTTGTTGGTGTGGACCGGCCCGTTGCCGAACAAGTCCCACCAGTTCTGCACACACACTCACACACACTCACACACACTCACACTCACAGATGCTTTCCTGCCCCTCTCTATCCCCCGTGCGCTAACGCACCAGTGCGAAGAGCCACTCAAAGGCCGGGTTGCCGTGTAGAATGCCCATAGGGTGCCACAGGTACTTGCGCATCCACAGAACGGCACGCCTGTAGCGACCCGCCACACGCGCATACCTGCACACGGACGGCACGTGACACGTAAGTATGCTTGTGGGTGCAAACACGGACGTGTCCATGGCATGGTGCCTGCGTACGCCTGTGGGTATGGGCAGATGGCAAATCTAATGGCGAAGATGAGCAGGTGCAGCAGCCGACCCAGGACGAAATTGCCTACCAACGGCAGCACACTGAAGGCCTGCATCCATCCATCCATCCACAAGGGGTGTACGCCCATCTGTGCGCTGAATTGACTGACTGACCGACCGTGGTGAGTGTCTGGCCTGCATTGCCGTTGCAGAGGATGACGCGGTCCACAAACTCGGGGTATGAAGCCGCCAGCTGCATCAACACACGTGGCCACACGCGGGGGTGTGTGCACCTGTCTGTTGTGTGGAGTTGCGTCTTGGTTCTTGTTTGTATGCACCCCTCACTCACCTGTCCGGCCACCTGCACTCCTGTCGACCACCCCATCACCGCATGCCAGCGGCGCACACCTACGGTACACACAGATGGATGTGTGTGTGTTGTGTGTTGGTCGGTGTGTGAAGTCTGTGCACTACCGACCGAGTGTGTGCATGAGATCGACAGCATCGTCCACGAGATGGTGCACACTGCACCTGAACCAGCCATTCGTGTCACACACACGTGCATCCATCGCATTCTGTCGTGTGTCCATAAATGAGTACACACATACTTGCCGGCATTTCCGTGTTTGGGCTGGTCAGAGCCGAACAGCCCGCGGTAGTTCCAGGTAACCACGCGATACTTGGTCTTGAAGTCAGGCATGTCTGCAAGCAAGATCGTTCGTGTGTCGCACAAACACTGCACGCACCCATTGGCGTAGATTAGATCTGTGCAGGGTGGGGCGGGGGTGTGTGTCCGTCGTGTGATGTGTCTGTGTACCCTTCTGCACGTGCTCGTATATCTTGGCCCACAGCATGGAGCTGCAGTTAACGCCATTGCACAGCAGGATCGCCGCAGGGCCACTGCACACATCATACATCACAACACACATACAAAAAGACAGACCTGTTGTGCCGTGTCTGGTTTGTGGCTGTGGCGGTGAGTGTGCAGATGGTGCAGGCGCACCTTCCGAAGACCTCGTAAGTGAGCGACAGGCGGTCTCGCGTGACGAACCGGCCCATCTCTTCGGGACGCAGCTCCGCACTCATGCAGTCGGCAAGACCTGCACACACACACGCGTGGACACACACACACACAAATGGCAAGAATTCTATTCCTTCGTACTTGCGGGAGTCTCCATCTTTGCGAAGTCGATGAGGCTCTCGTCCCTCCTCTTAATGTAGATGTCGTAACGCTTGCGGAGGAACAGGACCACCTGTGTGTGGTGAGTGCACACACACGTCAAGTACACATACGTATGTTCTCAGCACAACCGTACCAGTGGCCACAGAAGGGGCACGCTCAAGCACACCGCTGCTACCGCCAGCTACAGTGGCCATCACACACACACACACACACACGCAGAACAACAACATGTGTTTTGATGTGAGTTAGTGTGTGTGTGTGCGTCTTTGCACTCACCTGTCCCGCCAGCAGGGCGAGCGCCACGGCCAGATGCGCGCAGCACAGCAGATAGCTGCTCGCGGCATAGGCGAAGTAGAATCCCCACACCTGGTAGACGTAGTCTGCGAACGAATCGAATGCCTCGCCGCTGTCCGAGTCCTGTGAGCCGATGCCCGTGGTGGACACACACGACATGGCCTTGTCGGGGAGGCTGCGGTAGTGATGATAGCTGCTGTCGGGGAGGCTGCTGGTGCTGCCGCTGGTCTTTGGCGACATGCCGGGCCGCCCGCGAGGCGGCCGACGGAAGATCCTCTTCATGGCCGACACGCAGACACGCCGTCGGAAGCGAAAAGCGAAAACTGGAGGTCTGCAATCCAAGCTCGCGGATGGATCGTCCCCCTTGTTGAGAAACCAATCAGGCTATAGCTGAGGGTGTCCACCTGCGGGCCGACACATCATTTCCTCAACACCCCCTTTCGGACCGCAGAGCTAGGGTACCTCCCTTTCCAAGGTTTCCGGTGTTGCTCCAGGAATCGAACTCGCGACCGCTCCGCAGCGCTCAGCAGGATTGTTCTCCGCCCGGCTTGACCCCTTAAGGGTGCTAACAGGGGTTCGAACCGAGGTCAGTGGGCATATGACCTAGAAACCAATCAGGCTATAGCCGAGGTTATCCACCTGCGGGCCGACACATCATTTCCTCAACACCCCTTCCATCCTGCTGCAGCTCTCAAGACACTCAGTGAGGGTAAGAGGACAGTCAGAGAGGCAGAGGAAGCCTAAACATGCTTCAAACAGCGGCATCTTCGTGTGTTGCGTTCCTGCAGATCTCTCGTTCGTCACGCCTCATGGCATGGACAGACACGACGTTCGTCATGTAGCGGATGAGCCATCGCATCAATCAGCCGCTGATGGCCATCGGTGGTTGTCGGCATCTGGTGACTGACTCGTGGTGACTGATTGATGGCGTCCTCGCTGCCGGTGGAGGTCTGGCGTGGGCGTGTGGTGGCATGCCTGCAGCTGCCTGATGTGGCCGCTCTCCGCAACACCTCTGGCACCATCGGCACGTCCATCATCACGGCCGCTCTGCTGGTGGAGCGCATCGACGGCTCTCTCACCCGCCACTCGCTCACCGGCCTCATCGACATCGACCGCACCGCCCCTCTGCCATTCACCTACGTGCTGCGGGTGGCCTATGTGCTGGAGCAGGGCAGCAACGAGTGGCGTCTGATGAGATGGTTCATCCGGCTGGCCGCCATTTATCGGCTGACATCTGCCAATGGGCTGCCCCTGGTGCTGTCGGCTCAGTGGCTGATGGCCCACCTTCCCAGCAAGACGGCCTTCCACCGGCTGCCCGACGCCATGGCCATTTATCGACTGCTCGGCCACATGCTCACATACCGAGGGACCAGCCTGGCGCTGCAGCAAGCTGACAACGGGGTATATCGGATCGGCAATGAGTCGTTTCGTGTGGTGCCATATGGTAATCTGCCGGGCGGCCATCTCTATGCTGACGGCTACAAGCGGACCGATCCCGCAATACGCTGGGTCGACAACTGGCTCTTCCCCCCATTCTCGACATATCTGCTGAACATGGTACTACGGCGGTGGTGCAATGAAGAGGGGGTGAATGAGATGATGGTGCTATATGCAGACATCGGCCGTGGTGACCCTCGTTATGGCCGTCTGCTGACATCGGCCATCACAGAGGATCAGGGCATCGCTGTGGACTATCGCAAGGACGGAGGCAATCTGTATGCCGCTGATGCGACTAACTATCGTGGTGCGATATTGAGCGGCTTCAGACCCAACGAGACCGTCCGCGCCTTTCTGTGGATGGGAGATGGCCGCATCATTCTCTACACGACCGAGCCATCTGCTGCCGATGCGCCCGCACCGTTCGCCCAGCGCTTCCCTGAGTCGATTGGTGCTGTCCGCCGTCTGCTGCGGCCATTCGGTCTCGAGCGCGATGTCATGGATAGGGGGATGGTGGTGGGGTGAGCGGCGAGTGCTGGGTGGCCGGGCGGCGATTGTGTGGTGTTGGTGGATTGGATGGTCTGAGAGGGTCTGTCTGTATGAGCAGTGGGGAGGGGACGTGACTGATTGTGTGTGCACCATGAGTGGATATTTTTCGTAATCGTTCTTGAAAGACTTAGTGAGGTGTGTGGGTGGGTGGGTTTGTCAGACTCGATGACTGCATGGCTTCACTAACAATTCATCGGCGACACTAAATCGGTTGAGTGGTTTGGTCAGACACACCAGATGATTACAGGCTCTCTCTCCTGGCTTCGGAGTATAGGTGAAAAACATGGCATAAATGTCCGGACGACAGATAAACGAAACAAAATATCATCTAATTCATGATCCACCGACCCACCCACCCCCCATCTCCACACACACACACACACACACACACACAGAGAGAGAGAGAGAGAGAGATGCGCCCGCGCAGCCCTCGGTAGACGTGTGTGCCTGGCCGCCCTCACACTACACCTACCATGTATGCAGCTCAGCAAGTCGTACGGCTTGCTGTAATACGACGCGGCAGTCTCTGCCACCTTGTCAGTGATTCTCTTGTCGAACAGGCGGGTGCACGCATGGGCGACGTCCTAAGTGCAGGTGGTCGGAAGACCTGCGCTGAGTCCCCGATCGTGACGGATGCCATCTGGTTGGCCCAGAATAGGTTGTCCAGCGGATCTTGGCAATAAATAAACGGATTCACCCGCAGCGCCTTGCTGGTCTTGGCGAGGGAGCTGCGAGTAGGGAGTTATGGTGCCCGTCGACAGGCGGGGAACGGGGAAGGAGCCTGGTCGCTGCAGCGCCCTCCACAGATGTGGGATGGCTCTCGAGGTCTTCTCTTTTCAAGAGCATCGTCAGGACGACTTCGAGGAAGCAGGAGCGCGTCAAAACCACATCAAAGATGAGCTTGAGCGGAGAGCAAGAAGAGCAAGTAGCTGGCCACCTCGTTGATGGTCTTGTTCTCTCGTCATCGCTGCAGCTCGTAGAATTCGCCCTCGTCCATTACTTGACCAGAACCTCGTCAGCGGGCTACATTGCGCAGCCCGTTGACCTCTTGACAGAACTCCTTGTGCGTGGGCCAGTGCAGCCGCTGACAGGTTGTGCTGCAGTAGCTGATGAGATGGCATCCGTTGCTTGTCCGTTGCAGTCGCTGAGCGATGACACAGCAGTGGGTGACTTGCCGCACGACGTGCAGTGATGGGAACGTAGCCGAGGCATTGAGGCGCACTTGTAGCTAGGCATCTCTGACACGAAAAGCAAAAGCCAATGTGACTTTCTGCTCCTTTCGGAGCCTCGTCTGCGTTTCTACCTGCAGATGTGGAGGGCACATCGCATTCTCCTGTCACACGTTGGCCTGCCGACCTCGAGCTGGTAGCTGTCTGCTTCTTCTGCTTGCACAGGGCTTCATCGTCAGATGAGTCGCTCAGGTCCTGCTTCTCAAAGCGGCTGTAGAGTCGATTGGCTTGCCAGACATCTTCAGTGGGCGTCGAAGACCATAGATCTTCCGAGCGAAGAACCTGCGAGCTTGGCTTTCCCCCCACGCCAATTTTGCGTGTTGGCCAGGAAACATGTCCATTTTTCTTGGTTTTTGCGGTGTTCTCGGCTTTCTTGGCTTGTGTATGCGTCATGTAAAGCGGCCACATGCATTGCAAGAAGCCAGGAGAGTCGCAATGAGACGAGACAGATCTGACCGGTTCGGTGGAGGGATGGCAGAGAGGGCGTACCAGACGGGGCAAAAAGGGAGATGAGATGCCTGGCTGCATGGTGATGATACCCACTGCAATCATCACCCATTTGCGTCCTTCGTGACGCTAGCCTCTTCCTTGCTTGGACCTCTACGACTGCAGCCGTTCGGCAGCAAGCGAATTGTCTTGCGAATTGTGTCAGGTACGTAACGACAGGGAGCGACAGCATGCGTATACTTGGCTGATGCTGTCATTTGTGTGATGTGTATGTCATCAAATGCAGGGCAGGCGCCAATTGAAATGTCACGCGTTGGAGGGGAAGGGGCATTCCTTCTCGCACATATATCTGAGTGGACGAATTCGCCGTCTTCATGAAGTTCAAGCAGGCCACCATCACCATGCGTATGAGCCACCACCGCACAGCACCAACAATACGCAAGCACATCTGCTGAACATTGCATTTCTTTTCCTTCTGCTGCGTGTTGGATCTACCGATCTTTCCTAAGATCAGAGGCTTCGCAGCGCAGCTGATCAGTTTGTCTGTTGGCGGAGCGGACCAGCGGATGATCCCTGCGTTTTCTTCTCACAACAGCAGCCGCCCTTTTAACCCTTCTCACACCAGCATCAGCCATCGCGGCGTCAACTAGCGAGTGTGCCTCTTGTGCCAGCAGCATGCATCCACAGAGCGACAGATCCGCCGACCCAAGGAGGTTGACCATCTCGGAGGAGCGGCAGACGGTGCAGCTGGGCCGTCTTATGGGCTGCAACGAGATCACGTGCCGGGCCATGAATATCGTGTGGAATCGCGACGACCCGCAGGGCAATGTGTGCCTTATGGCCGAGGAAGAAATGCCCGGCGCTCGCTACCGCTATCAACTCATCGTTCAGATCCAGCCGAGCCCCTGCCATTAGTGCCAGCACAAGAAAAGCATGCAGCCGCCACGCTCAATTGTCTGCTTGCGTCAGCGTTTCATAAGGACCCAGATGCAATGCAGGGGCGATGTTTCACGTTTTATTTGGGTGCGTGGCAGGAAAAGAGAGGGTCTCTTATGATTCCTGAGGCGAGTATGATGTTCAATATCAGGCAAATATCAGGCCGCATTCTGGCTTGATCTTCCCGTCGTATCGCCACATTCATGGCGCCACGAATGACTAGAACGAGGCATCTATTGAGTGGCCTGAAGCACACCCGAAAGAGATACCCAGGCGCCTGTCCGCAGGGCGAAGTTTGTGGAGGATGTCAACACCTGCGCTGCTGCAGATGGACGCGCTTCTAAGCAAGTTGGGTCTGCCGCTTGGACGGTAGGGGAAGCTTATTTGAGTGGGGCAGCAGGATGGTGGGGCTGGAAGCGTGGCGGCAGCGCTGTTTGGCTGGGATTGGCGCGTTTGCATTTGGGTAGATTGGCTATGTCTCTTATGTCTCGTTCAGGCCTATCTTCCTGCCGAGTGATGCGGTGCGACAGACAGGAAACAGTCACCCCATATTGGACAAAGCGAAGACAATCGACTACGGCTGCATCGACAGTTTGCCACATCATGCCAACACCACAATTTTTCACAAAGACGGGATGATCGAATACATTAATCAGGTATTTGACGGGTAAAAGGATGTCATATATTATATGTCATTATATGTGAATATCACTATGATGTTTTTCAGACGTTCGAGGACCTGAAAAAGATAGATGAAGCCGGTCATCTATCTCCTCAATCGCTGACCCATATGTTCATGATTGCCCGATTGAAACAGATAAAGAATGAGCACGGGTATTCGCTGGTTCTGAAGAAGAGTCGCGTAGCACCGGATGCCGGATTGGGGATTTTCACTAATACCAGCATCCCGAAGGGTGCGATTATTGGCAGCATTTCTGGTGCTTTTATTCCGAATCACATGCCTGAAGAAGACATCAAGGATATCCTTCGCCGTCTGCTACAGAGGTATATATTTTGAGAAGCATCACACTTAGAAAGCATCACACCATATTCGACATATTCGACGTGTCTATTCCGTCTGTGTACAGGCCTGGACCCCGTGTCGATGCGTGTGCCAACATTGATTTTCAAAGCTTGGACGTTCACGGTGGCGCCATATGGTCGAGTCGCCATTTCGAGCCATTGTGGTATATCAATAGTCCGCAGAAAAAGCCAGACGAGCCTTACAAACAAGCTGCATTACGAGGAAATGCCGTATTCAGTGTTAAGTCATCCCGTTACCCCCCTCTGTGCCTTCATTGCGTAGACACAATGCAATACACAGACGATGCCATTGGCCGAGGAGCTCTTAATGTGTTAGTCTTATGTACGTCGATGATGAGCAGTGATACAGGGAGTTCAAGTGGGTTCTCTATTCTCAGGTTGAGGACTTTCCAAAAGAGAAAAGTGCAGACGCTTTGAGGTTGTCTCGCCTGACTGTACGGTGATGAGGAGGGTCTGCATGTATGCATGTATGAGTGCATCCTTGCTTTTCTCCGCTTATATCGTCTCGCCTGACTGTACCGGTAACGAAGAGTGCGGGGAGGGAAAAGGGTGGTCTCTGTGTATGAAAGGGCACACGTGAATTCAGCCATCCGGCTACAAGTAGACATCCCTCTGTCGACGACATGATAGTTGTCATCCTCGCTACATTGATGCATGAAATTGTTCTCTCACCAGTGCAATTGCGTGTATTCTCATTCATCAGTCCATATACATGACATGTCATGTGTAAGCCTACTATTGGCTGTATGCCTAGCATGGGCTGTGTGGACCATTTCATGTCGCTATTCCGTCAACGTCTGTTCCTCTGTTCGTGTCTCGCTCGCTCCAGCCGTGTGTTCAATTGTGTTTGTCATTGGTCAGATGACTCATTCATATCAGACTTCATCCATGTATCAATCATACATCAGAGTGTCTGTTAGTCACAGTGGGATGAGTGGGATGTGTGTGTGTGTGTGTGTCGGCATGAGAAAGGGTAGCATCCGTCATCCGTCCATCCATCCGTCAGCATGTTGGTGTCTTATGTACACCTATGGCGAAGAGCACTCGTTAAACCACCATATGGTCGTGTCTGTGTGTCAGTGCATCCCATCACCTCCTGCTCTCGCCGCCGTCCGCCCACCGAGTGGCATCGGTGGTCGCAGGGTGGTCGGCCACGGGCAAGAGCAAGAAACGTAGAGAATGCACCCACCCACACGACGCGGGTAAACCACCACCACCCACCACCACGACCCAACAATCCGCCCAGAAGCACACTGGCCACCGTCCATCCATCCACACCGACACACACGCACTCGAACGTGCACATTGCCATCGGCCAACAACAGATGTACACATACACATATCCGGCCATAGCAGAGAGCAAGAGCAACTGCATTGCACACGTCTACTTAAAACACGCCCGACCCATGCATGTGTACGTACGCATGTACGCAGGAGAGAGGCATTCACACAGACGGCAAAAACGGTCAGTCCATTTGAATGAATGATCACAGTTGAAACAGACAGACGTGGTCGTGGGGAGAGAGAGAAAGAGACGAGCTGAGAAGTGAGGAAAGAGAGCGCCGTCAGGCCGGCAAGCTGGCTGGAAGAGGTGACGTTAGTGACATGGGTAGATACAAATACGTACACATATTGACACGTATACAGACAGACACACACACGCGCACTTACACATCCGCACGCACGCACGCACAATCGCCTTGCTGTGCCGTGCTGTGCTCCTTTGCCACTGACAAAAATTATCCACTAGTAAGATGATAAGAGTAGTCTGTGTGTGCGGAGGGTGTGTGTGTGTGTGTGGGGGGGGG